TATTCAAACGCGGAATGCCAGTTGGGAAAGTGATGTCCTAAGTCACACTTGCCGAGTCAAGCTTTTTTTTGGAGCCACACTCAATATCCATCTTTCAAACAAAAAAACAATAAAAAAAATTAAAAATTAAAAAATGCAATGCAAAAAAGCATATAAAGTTCAGGAAAAAAAACCAACTTGACAGTACGACTTCACAATTCACAGTTCACAGGTTCTTGGGGACCTCAATGCGAAGTCGCGAAGCTTAGCAGAACCAGCTGTCATTTATTAACGCATAGCTCATCTCGTCCACTTTTAATAAATTTTTAATTGATTAATTAATTATAAATGGGCAATGAATGTGAGTCAGTTACCTTTGTCAATATGAGCATTTCCACCCACTTGCCATGGCAAGGCAATAGCTATTACTATTCACGTGAATAGTGGTAGTCCTTGCAATTCACATGATATATGATAAGAGGAATTTATACAGAGTTTTGGTGTGGGAAGTGAAGAATATGACTAAGTATTTATTTAAAGATTGATGACGTCAGCAAACCCAGGCAACAAGGTTGTTCTTGCCTTTGGGCCTGCCTAGGTTTGTGGAGCCCACCAGCTGCCCTGGTTGCATTTACCTGTTGGAACCTCTGCCTGGGGCTTGGGCCCCCTCCTGCCCCGGCCATAGCTAACTGCTGGAAGTAGGGTTGGGCACGTTACGGGATGACACGGGATGGAGGTCATCCTGGTGTCAATCCCAGATAGGAGAATCGAGATAAGATGACACAGGGTGAGAGTTTTTGAAAACACATTCAAACCATACCAGACCCAAATGGGACCGATATGATTCGGTATCAATGTTGATACCGTACAAAAAAAAAAGTTATTTATTTATTTAGCTATTTACTTTTGGTAAATGAAAAGGAAACTAATTGAAGAAAATAGAAAGAAAAAGAAAAAGCAAAGTTTGGGTCAAATGCATATCAGTTTCTTTCAAATATACCGTTAGCAAATATGTAAGCTTGAGAGAGAACTATAGGCAGTTGCAGTTATTGTTTTGGGTTGGGGCTTTCCTTTTCCACAAGTTTGAAGAACAGAGAGAGAGAGAGAGAGAGAGAGAGAGAGAGAGAGAGAGAGAAAGAGAGAGAGAGAGAGAGATGAGGAGGAGGAAAAGAAGAAGATGAGATCGATCGATGGTGGAGGATTTGGGAATTACAACTTCAAATCATGATTGAGAAAGGGGAAGAGAAGAGAAGAATAGATAGAGGGAAGGAAAGGAAAGGATGGAGGAGAAACAAAGCTGAGTCGAAATTTCTGTGGGAAAGAGAGGAGAAACTGAAATTAAATTAGGATTATTATTTATACATTTACCTGTACTATTCGGTACAGTATAGCACCAAACGGGATCACAAATCTGAAATCGTTGTCTTGCCAAACAGTAACGGGATGACACGGTATCATCCCGTTTACACGTCAACACCAAATGGGACGACATGAGATTGGCACGGTTTCTGGATGATTTCGGTATTTCGGTTTTGATGCCCACCCCTAGTTGGAAGTGCTCTAAAATCTTCTTCATTATACACTGTACACCGTACAGCAAAGGCATCTTCTTCTTAGGCTATGTTTGGTTCACGAAATGGATTTGAGAGGAAATTACTTCCCATGTCATTTTCTAAGGAATGGGAAATAGAAGATTCTTTTCTCACATTTGGTAATGCCGGGAAAGTAAATGGGAGATATCACTTTATTTCATTTCGTATGTTTGATTTGAGTAGGAATGAGATGATCATGAAAAATGTGCATTTAATGTTGGCTCATTTTTCCAAATTTTCCTATGATGAGGGAAAATAAAACCCAAATTGGAAGGAGGGGCTTCTCTTTTTCCCCCTTACTTTCTCATATGCAAAGTAACCATTTTCAATGCCTGAACTTATCAAACATAAAAAAGTAATTAATTTTCTATTTACAAACCTAACGAGGCTTTAGGAGATATTCCTTTTTGTTCCCCATGAAAGCTAATACATATTTTATTTATTTGTTTGGTTCGGTTTTGAATTGGATAAATGATAAATTAGAAACGACTGGGATGGATATTATCACGTTTTTTTTAAATAGAAATTAGGATAAAAAATTATTTGTCTGATTAAATAAAAAAAAATTTTGGTCGAAGTCTGATTAAAGATTTAAAGGTGAGTTGAAGCATCTTTTGACTTTATTATTGGATAACATTCGTGCTATCCAATAATTATTTGTATAATTTATAATTTATGGAAAAATACCACAAAATAGAAACACTTCACTAATAAATTCCAAGTTAGCATAATAGCATGCATGACAAGCTAATTATGCACACACACAAAAAAGGTAACTCCTTTGTGTTTTGTACAAGATTTTCCCTTTTTATTTTATCCTTGCATATGGGGTTGTTTTATCTGTGATCTCTCCATTTCTAATATTGCTTCAAACACAAATAAATTAAGGAAATTGAAGAAATAAGACTGTAGTTACGGTGTTAAGTGTGGTTGTAAAAGCACACTAGAGTTTGAATCCCTCGTCTTTTAAAGTTGTTATTACAACTCCACAAATGTTAATTTACTATAGACGTTGAATTAGAATAATTTAGACTATCATTGATCTACTTAAATTTAAAATGAAAATAAGTGACCCCTATAATTAGAGTTAAGCTAGCTACGATGGCCAAAGTCGAGGCCGCGCCTAGGGCACGGCCACTGTTCAAGGCGGATGGACGGCAAAGGCATCCTGGCTAAAAATCAATCCAAAAAGAATATTATAATAAATTAAGAGTGCAGAGGTGTGCCATGAATTGCAAGGATGTTTTGCACGGAGTACATTTTTCCAGATTTATAAGTTCAAAAGGATGTTTTGACATTAATATTGATTTTTTGTTGTTAGGGGGGAAGTGCATGAATCTCACAAGGTTAATTGAACATCGCAGGGGCCTTTTCATGTGCAAGATTATCACCACCCAGTCACGAATGTCGTCGCTAATGGCGTGCGTAGAAACACAGAGTCGTGCTGAGTTCTTTGTTTTATTTTATTACTTGGTTGAGTTGAGGATAACGATGCAATTGGATGAGGTGGGACATAGTCAGATTAAAAAAATAACTCAAGGAAATTTGACCTAAACTTTCCTAAACAATTGGTATTAAAAAAATGTACGGCCATAAAAAACTATTGGAGGATAATGTTATTTAATAAAAGTTGTGGGGAAGTGCTTTCAATCCATCCCTAAAGTTTAAACAAAGGTGTTTAAGCTAACCCTTTTTTGGGTGACGGTGAGAAAGAACCAATTCATTTCCCACAACGACACTTTCAAAACTAATATAAATATTTGCCTCACCGACGCGGCTCATCAAAATCGTAGCTTAGGTTAAAAGTAAATTATGGTGACCTTGATTTCGTAAATTTATTATTATGGAGGAGGACACATTTGACTACGCTCCCTCCCTCCCTAGTGAAACCGGTCTACATTCCCCCACCTACATTATTTTTAATACATCTCATGATACACACACAAGTATATCATTTTTCATTTGCTTTTTATTTTTTATTTTTTATTTTTTTATGAAAAAATTCGACAGCAACGTGCAATTGGGTAGGATCTTATTAAAATCGAATGTTGAATTAGGTTAAATTGAGGGATTAATGCAGGATTTTAAATAAGATATATATGATATTTTCTTTTTTTATTCTGAGTGCACACTGGCTAGGTTTAAAGGCATATGTAGATATTTCCTTTTACTTCAAGTTTTAGCTTAGGCTATAGCCTAGCTAGTTATCTGTTTTTCCCCATGCTTGATTGGATTAGCACGCGATGAAAATATTTGACAATATTTAAATTTTAAGGATGTACGTTAATTGCGTCTTTATCGTTTCTCATATGACAAGTCAACATTATGTAAATTTTCTCTCTTGACTACACTAATTGTGTCTTTACCTCTTCTTATATGACAAGTCTCATTAGGTAAGTTTTTCTCCTCTAACTACACCAATTATGACTTTATCTATCCTCATATGACAAGTCACAATACATAAGTTTATTCATTCTCTAACCATAGTATGTGCACTTGATTAATATATAGCTTTCAATAAATTAAAAATACATTTGAATATGGCATTTTGGATTTAAGGGATACTTGTTTGGTTTAGTTTCGAATAATCGAAGCTGAACCAAAATATAATGAGTCGAAACTTCAACGTACATAAATAAATAATACACGAGATGAGAATATATATGTACACGAGTAATTCAAATAAATACAGTGCAAATTTGTCAAATAAATGTCAAAACCACAACGTACATACATGTATACTATACTATAAAAACTTAAAACAATTAATTGCTATGGATGCAATTATCTTATAATTAAATAATTCAATAGTTGCTCCACTCTTGTATCATATTCAACAAGATATGGAGGATCTGGCCAAGAAAAAAAAAACCAAAAGATTTAATGAAAAGTTTCCTTTTATAAGAAAAAAAGAAAAAGGAAACTAATGCAAATCTTATCCACAACATTAATACATGTGACTTTCGAAAGAAGAGGAAACCCCGCAAAATACAAAATAAAATTAGAAAAACCCTCTCAAGCGAAAAGAAGAAGAAGAAGAAAAAAAAAGCCGATGGTGGGGTCCACAAGAGGAGAGACACGCGCAATGAAAATAAAGAAAATCAAAACAGGAAACTAAAAGAGCACGAAAGGGTAGTATTGTCATTTTTGGAAATATAGTTGGAGGCCTCAACGTTATCCAAAATGAAACCTAACCCCAGAGTTAAAATAAACAAACCGCGGTAAAAAAACTCACATGGACTCTCTCTCTTTCTCCCTCTAAAACTTTCTTACTTTGTTTATATTTTAACATTCCGATCTCTCTCTTTCTTTATTTTGAGTTTGTAAACACCAGCGCAGCCTCCATTTCTCTCTCTCTCTCTCTCTCTCTCTCTCTCTCTCTCTCTCTCTCTCTCTCTCTCTCTCTCTCTCTCTCTCTCTCTCTCTCTCTCTCTCTCTCTCTCTCTCTCTCTCTCTCACTTCCAACGTTAAAATTTAATTTGCCGTTTTCCGATAACCAGCCGGCGCCGATCGCCGGCCTCCCACCGGAAAGGTAAGCTATTGTCTTCCTTGTTGATCTGCCTGCCGCTTTCTTATGCGGCGGCTTCTTGAATTTTCCATGCGGTCCGTTTGGTTCTCGAGAATTTGTGAGATAGCCATAGCACGTAAAAGTCTTGATCTCAGTCTCCTAAATTTACGCTTTTCAGTCGGCTGCACACAACTACTCGCCTTCGTTTTTGCTTGTTCTGGATTACTCACGAGCTTTTCTTTTCTTCAACTGTTCTATTTTATTGGGAACCAAACGGACGGCAAAAGCGCTATAACCTGAATAGATTTTTTATTTTGTGCCTTTTGGTTTATGGAAATTTTGTCTTTTTGGAATGATTTTGACAGTTTTTTTGCCAGGAAGTTGTTGATCGAAGCTCCGGACGGGACTCTTAGTTTCATAATAAATTTTGATTCAGGTAATGCTCACGTTTTTTCACTTATATCCAGCGTATGCTGAGATCTTTTTTTACTTGTAGTTGCAGCATATAGCTTTCACAACGTACTTCATTTTCTTTTTGGTTGATAAATTTGTGTTCTTTTTCTTCGAACACAAAGAAAATAAATTAAATTTGTGTTCGTTTTCTTGTTTAGATTGGTAGAAAACTATTTTAGGAATTTATTCGTACGGGAAAGGTAGTTTACTGTGTCGTAGAGCCAGGATTTGTGTTTATCTGCTAGATTTGCATCAAACCTTCAAAATATTAATAAAATCTGTGATGCGCACTGTTTGCTTTTTTTTGGAATACTTTGACTAGGTTGGATATTGCTGTTACGCTGGAAAAGGAAAAAAAGGAATTTAGTTCTTGTATACTACTGCACGTATTTGTATAGGTCAATTTTATGCATCAGATTCAAATGATACGTGGAGAATAAATTCAGGATAGGACAATGGTCAATGTATGATGACAGAAGGGCCTTCTAGAAACCTATAATTATACTTTTTGTATGCTTGTACAACTCTTCCTTTACCTCATTTGATTAGAAAAAACTCTCTTTACGGTATAATTTTCTCTTCACCCTATTTGGATGCCCACACATCAGCTGTTTCAACTTCCTTTCAGCGTATTTGTACCGAAAAGGTGCTGCATTGGATGCATGCTTACCTGGTTACCGAGTACCTGTTTTTGTCCACACTTTTTTTGTTTTATAATCATGGATTGAAAATGGTGTAAAGAAAGAAACATGGAATTCAATTTGTCATGGATGAGCATGACATTCAAACACAGAGTTGAATTTCATATGCCTTGATAATTGATATACTTCCATATTCAGTATGTTTTATGGCGAATGTATTGTTTGCTCTTTCCTTTTGTTGCAACATAACATGTGAGAGGAAAGCATGTTATATTCAGTGTAATTATTTTGATTCTATTGACCAGCAATCAGAATTGGACCATGTGTAGTTTATTTGTTGTATGTGGGAAAAGAGGATTTAGTAAGTGGCAGCAGTTTAATGGTGTGATCATTCTTTCAATTTTGTGCAGGTTTGTGGAAATTACTATTTTCTGGTACTTTGTTGCTCTGCATGATTCAAGTAGAAAGGGTTTCTATTCATGGCATCAAGATCTTGTACGAACCTTTTTGATTTGGCATCTGGAGGACTTTTGGATATTCCTTGTACTCCAAGGGCCCTTCCACGTGTGATGACTGTTCCTGGCATTATCTCTGATGTGGATAGCAATGATGATGGGGATTCAGATTCCACATCATCTGTTTGTCGTGAGAGGAAAATTGTTGTGGCGAATATGTTACCATTACATGCCAAAAAGGATCCAGAAACGGATAAATGGCGCTTCAGTTTGGATGAGGATTCAATTTTGCTACAATCAAGGGATGGATTTTCGTCTGAAACAGAGGTTGTTTATGTGGGGTCTCTCAAGGCTGAAATAGATATCAGTGAGCAAGATGAAGTTGCACAGAAACTGCTGGAGGAATTCAATTGTGTGCCGACATTTCTACCCAGTGATCTTCAAAAGAAGTTTTATTTGGGGTTTTGTAAGCAGCAACTATGGCCCCTTTTCCATTACATGCTGCCTATGTGCCCGGATCATGGCGATCGCTTTGACCGGTCACTGTGGCAGGCCTATGTATCTGCAAACAAAATATTTGCAGACAAGGTGATGGAAGTTATTAATCCTGAGGATGATTGTGTTTGGGTTCATGATTATCACTTGATGGTTCTCCCAACATTTTTGAGGAAGCGATACTATCGAGTAAAGCTTGGATTCTTCCTTCACAGTCCATTTCCATCATCAGAAATTTATCGAACTATGCCTGTTCGAGATGAAATTTTGAGGGGTTTGCTAAATTGTGATCTCATTGGTTTTCATACATTTGATTATGCACGCCACTTCCTCTCATGCTGCAGTAGAATGTTGGGCCTGGACTATGAATCCAAACGAGGACATATTGGGCTTGATTATTTTGGCCGCACTGTCTACATTAAAATTCTTCCTGTAGGTGTTCATATGGGTCAGCTTGAATCTGCATTGAATCTTCCGAATACAACTTCCAAAATTAAAGAGATTCAAGAGCAGTTCAAGGGGAAAAAGATGATTCTTGGCATTGATGACATGGATATATTTAAAGGCATCAGCTTAAAGTTTCTAGCTTTAGAACAACTCTTACAGCAGAATCCAGAGTTGCAGGGCAAAATAGTTCTGGTACAGGAAGCAAAGAGTGAGACATACTTAACTGCCAGAAGGATAAATGAGGTTTATGGTTCACCTACTTATGAACCGGTTGTTCTTATTGATCGTCCTGTCCCGCGTTACGAGAAGACAGCGTATTATGCTGTAGCAGAATGTTGTATAGTGAATGCTGTGAGGGATGGAATGAACTTAGTTCCTTACAAGTATATTGTTTGCAGGCAGGGAACTCCACTTATAAATGAAGCTTTAGGCATTACAGAAGATTCTCCTCAGACAAGCATGCTTGTTGTGTCTGAATTTATTGGTTGCTCACCTTCATTAAGTGGAGCAATCAGGGTTAACCCGTGGGACATTGATGCTGTGGCTGATGCCTTGAACTTGGCTATCACCATGCCTAAATCCGAGAAGCAATTACGTCATGAGAAACACTATCGTTATGTTAGTTCTCATGATGTGGCTTATTGGGCTCGAAGCTTTGCGCAGGATTTGGATAGAGCATGCCGAGATCATTATAGTAAACGGTGCTGGGGTATTGGATTGGGCTTGAGGTTCAGAGTTGTTTCCCTTTCTCCGAACTTTAGGAAGTTGTCTGTAGACCATATTGTCTCAGCATATAAAAGAACAAATAGAAGGGCAATATTCCTGGACTATGATGGAACTGTTATTCCCGAAGCTTCCATTATTAAGGCCCCAAGCCCAGAAGTCCTCTCTCTTATGAATTCCCTGTGCAAGGATCCAAAGAACACTGTTTTCATTGTTAGCGGGAGAGGAAGGACCTCTCTAAGCGATTGGTTTGCCTCATGCGAGACTCTGGGAATTGCTGCTGAACATGGTTACTTCTTAAGGTATGTCACTAATATGTTATTTGTTGAATTTTGAGCAAGCCCCTTCCTGATTTTTAAACTGAACTAAGGTATTTTGTTCTGTTGGTATAGGTGGAATAGAAGTTCTGAGTGGGAAACCAGTCCCGTTGGTGCCGATCTGGATTGGAAAGAAATTGTGGAGCCTGTGATGAGATTGTATACAGAGGCAACGGATGGCTCCAACATAGAAACTAAAGAGAGTGCTTTGGTATGGCATCATCAAGATGCAGACCCTGACTTTGGATCCTGTCAAGCCAAGGAATTGTTGGATCATCTGGAAAATGTTCTTTCTAACGAACCAGCAGTTGTTAAGAGGGGCCAGCATATTGTTGAAGTTAAGCCACAGGTAAGACTGCCTCCACTGAGTCTCTTTTCCCACATGCACATATACACTTACGCAAACACAATACTGGTGTGAATTTTTACACTAATGCCTTGTTACATGCAGGGAGTAAGTAAAGGATTGGTTGCTGAGAAGATTCTTTCAAGAATGGTCAATGATGGGAAGGCACCAGATTTTGTGATGTGCATTGGGGATGATAGATCCGATGAAGACATGTTTGAAAGCATATTAAGCACGGTCACCAGTCCATCGTTGCCTTCTCCTCCCGAAATATTTGCCTGCACAGTCGGAAGAAAGCCAAGCAAGGCCAAGTACTATCTTGATGATGCCAGTGATGTTGTGAAATTACTTCAAGGCCTTGCTACTGCTTCAAGCCCAAAGCCTAGGCATCTTCCACATATCCAGGTTTCTTTCGAAAGCATCTATTGATTCGAACTGTCACCGTTTGCGTGACCTTAAATCATCGTTTTGGCCAGATGGATTCTTTTTAACCTCTGAAGTGGTTCGGGATCATGAAGGACTTGACCATTCTTGTTTTGTACGTGGTGACATCGAATATGTATTTATCGGTGCCCGGTAAGAGTGATTGGATATTTACAGATGGCGGTAATGGCTGTTTTTAACCGTTTGGGGGGCACCATTTAACTTGTATAGATACAATGTTTTTGTCACAATAGATAAATCTCAGTTCGATCCATAATGATATAATACATCCTCAATGCTAATTGTTTACTTGATCATCTTCAGTTTCACTTTATATTGTTCTGTGAGTGTCACCTGCCAAGTTTTTCCTTTGCAGTAAGTCAAGGCAATGCAATTCAATTCAATTTTGAAATGGCCAGGATGAGGATACTATTCTTGTCATAAGAAATAGATAGGTTCTCTCAAATAGTGACAAGCTCTAAAGACAGGAACAGGACAACACAGCCTGTATCCTGAAGGTATCTACTATCTAAATCACTAAACCCAATCGTCACAATTAATGGTCTGTCAGGTCAGGTGGTCCAAGAAAACTGTTATACATGGGGATATGGGAAGACAGTATGCTTCGAGAAGGGAAATACTTGTCCCATTATGGACTTTTATATTCTTTATTACTAACAGTTTGATATGTGTGTACAAGATAATCGGGAAAAGGGAAATACTTGTCCTATTATGAACTTTTATATTCTTTGTCAATAACAGTTTGATATGTGTATATAATGAGTTAATCAGGAATTAAATTGGGGTAGGCTTAATTTATTTTTTTGGGAGATCTATTATAATGGGGTTTCCCTGACCCATCAACCACCACAACTGCAATCGTCGAACTATCACCAACATGGGTATATTGCCAATCAAACCCAGAGATGCCTGTCTAGGTTTTGGGGAGAAAGAAAAAAAAAAAAGGAAGAGAGAAAGGAAGAAAGAAAGGAAAAAAAACATTTAATGTTGTACAAGATTAAAACAGGAATTTCAACCCAAAAAAAAAAGAATAAAACAGGAAAGCAAAACATTTGAAGCTTTTCAAAGTTATGTTGCACCTAGAAAAACACGTGTATGGCTCTAAAGGGAGAGTTTGATTTCTCAGTAGCAAACCTCCTGGTCTGTTTAATGGCTCTCAAATACAGCCTCCAAAGTCAATCCGACGGTTGGGGTTGGGAGTATATTTTTTTTTTAGGTGGAGAAGGGGGGTTAACACCCCAAAAAAGCTAAACAGACTGAGAACAAGTCAAATGAGTTCTGAACACCCTTAACACATCATCAGTCCACAGGGAAGCTATTCAAATAGGAGCAATATCATCAGTACAGAAGCCCATATCAGCTTCCATTCGCCAAGCAATCAGCAACACAGTTTTTCTCACGGTAATTACTCCAGCTAGGGCTACGTAGTGGGGTGGGCTAATATATGATTTAGCTAGAATGGGCTTGTACAACTAAACCTATATCTGTATTTTCTAAAAACAACACTATACTGAGCCGACTCCAGCCCAAACGCAGAGCTTGTCTTTTTGTATTTTTGAAGAATTATTTTTACACGTATGTCAAACTACGATAGAGAAGGGTTATTCCAACTAAGAACTGTAAAAATGGATAGGACCGGCGTGGAGTCCAGTTGCACTATAATACAGAAATCACGCCCGCTATTTTGTGTGTGTCATCGGATGGGTGACTTCGTCGGCTGTGGCATCCAATAATTTCTTTTGTCTCACATAATGTGTCACCTGATTAGAGAGATAGGACCTCGTCATAGACAAGTTTTCCTTCGCTCCATCCAACCGTCCAACGCAACCTTTAGTGGGCTGCTTGGTCGCCGACTATGCGTCGGTTCTATCCTATCACGTGTCATTTTGGTCAGCATGGCCTGGGTAGGTGTTTTATTTGGTCAACGGCCTGGGCAGCTAGGGGTTGCCATTTGCCAATCTGACAGGGTTGGGCCCAGCCTCATGGTTAGTGACTGGGCCAATATGATTTGAGTTTTGGCCTCATGGTTTGTGATTGGTTCGTAACTATTCATACACATAAAAAATATTTAGAAAAATAAATAAAATAAAATAAAAAACATACATATTATACATATTTTAAAATTCATATAGTTAACACAGCTTTTTTTGCCTTGGTTTAAAAACAAACCGCTATGATTATTAGAATGATGGAATGATAAAAATGGGAACACGATGAGGATCAATTATATAAGTAAAGTTAAAGAAAATAAGTTGCTTCTAAATTTAGCAAGAAAGGAAAATTACACTTAAACATGAAGTATTGTGCTAAAAATTTGTTGTGAGGAGTTTCAAAAGTGATATGGAAATTTGAGTTAGAACTTTCATCTTTTTCTCATCTTAGTCAATCAAGGTTGTGTGCTTCCTCTTTTAATTTGGGTCATTTGTTCTAATATAAGAGTTTAAAATTTTACCACGTGATCTTATTTTTAAAGATGCATACAATATTCTGTAGATCTTTGACGTTGATGAATAATATTTTGAGATATTTTTCTTATTAGTGAATTTTCATCACACTTGATTCTCGTTTATGTTCTTGGGGTTAGACGTTTGGTCGATCTATATCCGCATCAACAATCACATGTGAACCTCAATGCATGAAAAAAAAACCTGTGGGGTTAGTTACTGACTAGTGTTAATGACGCTCTTATCTTATGTTATGCACTAATGGTTCCTCAAATTGTCCGTTTTACCTCTAGACGAGTAGGTGATATCATCCCGTCAATATGCTCTCACTAGTAAAGGTCAAATTGTTGAAACAAAATTGAGCTGAAATATTTTCAAATATAATTAGAACAATAAACAAACGGTCATAATATCAAGTAACAACAAATAAATGATAATAGCATGTCGGAAATGGAAACTTGCATATTATAAAAGAAACAAGGAACATGGAGAGAATTTAGGTGGAGAATAAATGCGGCCATGGTTAGTTTTCTTGTTTTTTCTTTTTTCTTTTTAATTAAAAAAAACCCAGTAAATTCATGACACGATCCTCCCCGCAGCATATGATTCTTTCTCACTCTCTCACCGTTCACTCTTTAGTCCCCACTGACACAGGCGAGAGCGACCCTCTCTCTCCCTCTGCAGCTCTGCTTTTTTGTATTTCTTTTCCCTTTGCCTTTTTTCTCTCTTTTTTCATCTTTGTCGCTTGCATCTTTTCACACGCAGTTTCTTTCACATTACACTCAAATACACTGGTTTTGTTCGAAACAAACCATTTGAGGAAGAGCATCTCCTAGCTCATATCACTCACATCACATTCTTGCAAAACCCAGATAGGATTTAGGGTTTCTTACAATGCTGGCAGCTTGAATGTTTCAGTTCTGTGCTGTTCCGGGCTTCATTGTGAGAAAAGGACTAATGGGTCGGAATGTCTTGGTGTTTGGTCTCGCCATTTTGGTTCTTTTTGGAGGCGTCTCATCAGCTGCTCCTACTGCTCCAGCAAGTGAGTGAGTTTTTTGAATTTATGTATACATGACTGTGAGCTTAGCTGCTATATGATCTGCTTTTGGTTTTGGAACTTTGGTTTGTTTTCAATCCGAACTTTTTTTGTTTGTTGGTATTTTCAGAGATTGTCAGTGGGGTTTTTTCAAATGCTGCTTCTGCTTTTATGAAATGGCTGTGGTGGCTGTGGTCACTCAGAGCAACATCCAAAACAGGTCTAGATCTCTGATGTTAATCCGCATTTTCATTTTATACTCTCTTGTTTTTTGGGGGTTTATGGTCTTCTATTCTGAAACGGCGGGGATTTGTGAAATTTATGTGTGCAGCGATTTCTGGCCGTCCGTTGATGAAGTATGAGAGTGGGTTTAATGTGGAGACAGTGTTTGATGGAAGCAAGCTTGGGATTGAGCCTTACTCTGTTGAGGTGTTGCCCAGTGGGGAGCTTCTGATTTTGGATTCTGCTAATAGCAACCTTTATAAGATCTCTTCCGCTCTGTCTCTCTGTAAGTGGCTTTTATGGAATGCATTGGGAAATTGCTTTGTTAGTTTGATTGAACTTGCAAGTAGAATTCTCCACTTTATGAAGTATGATTCGCAAAATCTGCTGTTTGGCCAAGTTAGTACCGGACTCGAGTTCTTACGAGTTTTATATGCTTTAGTGTCTCTTTGAGCCAGTTTGTCTTGATTGGCAAGCATTTGCATGTAGTTCAAAGGCGATATTTCTTTTATTATGTTTGGGTTTTGGGATATGGGATCCAAAAAATGATTCTAGGAGAAAGAAAAAATGCTGCTATTTTAAGGCTTCTTTATTCATGGCTGTCTTTCCAGGTGCAAATCTATTGGTAACTGTGCTTTGAATCCAAAAATTCCAACATCCAGCTTTTATATGATCTCGTCTTCCCTAAACTGGAAAGAGCCTTGATCTTTGTTGGATGCATGCTATATTGTGTTGATGTCTTCAGTCTACTCTGTACTACTAATTGCACTACTAAATTTTAAAGAGATTTGAAGAGCTTCCCCTCAAGAAAATGAACTCCTTTATCATTGTTACGGATACATTCAACTCTTTTGAGCTTGCATCTCTCATACTTCCACTCTATTTCATGGGAACACTGCAGACAGCAGACCAAAGCTGGTTACAGGATCCCCTGAAGGGTACTCTGGACATGTAGATGGGAGGACCAGAGAGGCAAGATTGAACCACCCGAAGGGGCTTACAGTTGATGACAGTGGAAACATTTATATTGCAGACACAATGAATATGGCAATCAGGAAGATAAGTGATGCTGGTAATTGCTAATTTTAAATTTGTTTAAGCATAAGTTTTTTCATTCATGTTCAGCATATCATTACAAAGTGGATTTGTTTCCTTTTTCTTTGTTGTTTCATTCTGACCTCGTCTTCACTACAGTAGTTTGTTATTGTAGTACCCATCATCATCATCATCATTATGATAATTTTTTTCCTAATTGGTAGCTAGATGTTTAATTTTGATGTCATTCAAATTTCTACTGTCAGGGGTTACAACAATTGCTGGAGGGAAACAGGGAAGTGGGGGAAGCCATGTGGATGGACCAAGTGAGGATGCAAAGTTTTCTGATGACTTCGATGTGGTTTACATTGGAAGCAGCTGCTCCTTACTCGTCATAGACAGAGGAAATCAAGCAATCAGGGAGATCCAACTCCATTTTGATGACTGTGCTTATCAGTATGGAAGTGGTTTTCCCCTTGGTAACTTCATTTACCCAAATATTTCCTTTTGGATGGTGTGAATATTGAAAAATACATAGGTACTTATTTTCATCATTGCAGGGATTGCAATGCTAGTGGGTGCTGGCTTCTTTGGTTACATGCTAGCATTGCTACAACGCAGAGTTGGTACAATTGTCTCTTCCCAAAATGTGAGTGCTGAGTTTCGCCTTCTATTCACTTTGTTGACATGTACACTTTGTGGGGTAGATGTTGGTTCTGCAGGTCATTTGTGCCCATCTTTCTTGTAGGAACTATTTGAAGTTACTCTCACATTTTGTTGGGTTTGTAAATAGGAAAAGTGGATCCCAGAAAAGATGCAGAATTCCACCTTTATTATTTGTAGTGAAATATTGTTGATACTTGAAAGAAAATTCTTCATGAAAAGAGGATTTTCTTTTTCTGGGAATCACTTCCTCAAAGTAGGACTTATTTTACACTTGCCTTGATTAGGTATTATGTACTACCTTTCTGCCATAACAACTTCAGTATGACAATAGTTTGATAAAAGTTCAATGTAATGCTTTTCCTTGAGAATCATAGATCATGACATATAGCTTCTTCTACGACAGCATAGAACATTCTTTTACCTTTTATATTGCATTTTTGAAGGACCAAGGCCCAATGAAGACGAGCATTCCTCCAAGTCCATACCAGAAGCCTCTGAAATCAGTCAGGCCACCTTTGATTCCAACTGAAGATGAGCAGGAGAAGCAAGAAGAAGGCTTCTTTGGATCGATTGGGAAGCTTTTGGTCAATGCTGGGGCATGTGGTGCTGAAATTCTGGGAGCAATATTTCCTGGTTTTAGAAAAAAGCATCTAAACTATCAAGACCAAATTCAGGAGCAGCAGCAGAAGCATTCAAATTCTTGGCCTGTGCAAGATAGTTATGTGATACCAGATGAGGATGAGCCCCCTTCTATTGAAACCCGAACCCCCACCCCACGCAAAACCTACGCATTCATGGCCAAGGATGCTGAAACAATGCATCAGTTGCGGCAAAGCCGAGTTTTCTATAATGGGTGGGATGATATTCAGCAGCAGCAACAGCTGCAAAAACAACAACAGCATTATCATCGTTACCAATCATCAAACCCCAATACTTTCTATGAGCAGAGTTGTGAAAAAACCACTGAGATTGTGTTTGGTGAAGTTCAGGAGCAGGATGGGAAGGGTGAAGCTGTGGTCATAAAGCCTATTGATTATGGAAATCCCATGTTTAATCATTACAGTTTTACCTCCCAAATCAATCCTAGGGGTTATACCTATGGCTATTGATCATATATACGTAAGAGAGGCATATAGACATAGTTTTGATCTTATTTGATCTTTCATATAAATCTTTCAAATTTTAGGTTATAGGTGGTATCAAATCATTCTCTGATTTCCATGTGGAGAATTTCAGTCCTGGAGGTATCTCATTCTGGTCGACATATTGAAGGCCTTTGTTCAAGAATATTGCCCCTCTTACATAATTTCTTTCATAATTCAAGGAGGTGGTCTTCTCTGATGCTTTATTAGATATATTGTTATATCGCTTTCCCCGTTTCCTTGCAATCAAATTGCAAAAAGTGATATGGCGAATACCCTTAAGAATCAGCCTCAAGAGTTTGAGTCATCAGATGAAATGTTTTTCACGTTTAACTGGATGTGTTGTTTGAATCACAAGCACCGGTGCCTTTTTTTTTTCCCAATCCATTCATCATATAGTAAATCGGTTGGCTTTGGAAATTACCGATGCTTCTTTACATTTTCCATTTGTCACATTGGTTAAAAGAAGAGATAACAACTCTATTCATGTTTCACAAACCCAGTTTCCCAATTACTTGATGTTTCGATAAAATCTAATAATTGAAATCAAATGGAGATTCTCAGGAGAGAAGAAGAAAATGACCCAAATGGTGGCACAAAATGTAAGCACACAATCACGAACATGCCATTATCCAGATATTCGGTACTAGTGATGAAAAGATTCAAAATACTCACAAGCCTCACAATTGGAGATAAGTTAAGCTATACATACAATAGAGTTGTCTTTCTTCAACCTTTTCATTTCATCTCCTTTTAACTAAACCATAATAACTTCCCAATGCCGGCAGAGTTGTTTCTTTAGCTCCCTCCACAAATCCCATAATATTACTGTCTATCATACCTTCTATTCTTCCATGAGAACTAGATAACACATCACTCCTCCCATCATTACCATCTTCTTGCTTCCTGCTACACAACTCCATGCTTCCATCAACACCTACCAAATCCTTCAACTGATCCACATACTTGGACGACTCTGTTATCTCTGTGACCTTGAAACTACTATTGCTATGAAAATCACAATCAATCAAAGACACACATTCCTTAGGCGAAACTCGGGACCCTACATGGTTGGTTCTAAACATAAGAGAAAGATGAGAGATGCACAACAAAAACAACCGCCTCAGCAGCGACACAGACTGGGTGGAGCTAGCAGTTGCGCTTTTGATGGCGAAGCAAAGAGTCTGTACTTGCTTCCCCAGATTGATTTGGCAGCGCCTCCATGTCGCGCTGAATCCGAGCCTGTTGCGGCCCTCCTGTCTACCAAGTCCAGTTAGACACATTGTGTTAAAGTTATGATCTTGACATTCAAATCAACACATTATAACAGAAGATGCAATTATGCAACAAAACACTTACATTGCGGATAATATAAGGCCGAATCACAATTCCAACAAGCAGCCCGAAAAGACATGACAATCCGAGACCCAAAAGCCAAATCGAAGCTGCTCCAAGTGCTGCAAATTGCATAATAACAACATTATCATTAAAATCAAAATTAAATTAAATATCAGAACCAAAATCCCCAAATGAATTACTGTAATTACACAAAAGCGCACCCGACGGAGAAGACCTAGCACAGTCCTCCGGCTTGAGATTAATCAACCGCACCAGCTGATTCCCCCAGTCCGAGACCAGAAGCGCGCACTTATCGGCAACGAAAGCCAGCTCCAATTCGGTCGAAAACGTTGCGTTTTGAGAAGGGCCGTCCTCCCGTCCAGGCTTCAGTGAGTGAGTGTAACCTCCAGCAATTGTACTCACACTACCTATTGATTGAGTTGGGTGAGTACTTACGAATTATGCCACGCTCGCAAAAACCTAGAAGAAGGAGTTACCTGAAGCGCTTATTTTCCGAATGACGTTGTTGCCCTTATCGGCAACGAAGACATTTCCTTTCGTGTCCACAGCGAAGCTCCGGGGCTTCTTGAACCGGGCCGAACCCGGTGCGCCGTCAGAATAACCCTCGAAGCCGCCACCGGAGAATAGTTTAATCACACTCTCTGAAACATCACCTAAACTGTTTTAGCATCTACGAAAACTAACGGCGGTTCAGAAATCGGAAGTGGCTAGTTACTAGTTAAATTACCTTGGGATCCTGGTATGGGGAACGGTACTGTGTATACGGCACTGCCGGAAGAGTCGAGGACGAGGAGATCGGACGATCCAGGACGAGGGAGCACCGAGTGCGGGTTGATGCCGAGTTTGTTGCCGTCGATCACTGTCGTGACGGTGTACCCGTCTTCCAGCACCACGTCGGCGAAGACTGAAATGGAAATACATGGAAACTGAGGGAGTGAAACGCAAATAAAATATTTATGCAAATTCAGACCTATTTTTAAATAAATAAAATTACAGTTTACCTCGAAGTGAAGCTAGGTTGAGGAGGAAGAAGAAGAAGAGAGCAACAGCGAAGGAGTGTGAAGCCATCGTCGCACGCCAACAGTGGAAGCCTAAAAATCTCTACTTTTGCAGGTGAAATGAGAGAGCAGCTACTCATCTGGACCGTCGGAGGGTTATGTAGTGGATTCGCGCCACGTCACCCCGGGTCCCACAACAATTCGCGCCAATCAAATCGAACTAGAGAGACCCAAGGGCCAAGCCAAGGGTGACCCATCCAACTCACAACAGCGGGTAACGCAATTAATACTCGCAGAGAATTTATGTGTCCGAGTTTATTTATTTTTATTTATATTTTTCACATTTTAGAGTTAGACTATTTTTTATTTTAATTTCCGTTTACAAAGACCAAAAAAGGGAGCATTCATCGTAAGTGGAAGGAATAGAATAGACCCTGAAACAAAAAAGAAAAACTCAACAAAATATATACTCACTCTCAGATCCAAATCTCTCTTTCTCTCTCTGAGCCTCTTCCTCAGATCTCTCTGGTGACATATTCGGATCTCCGATTTGCAATTCGGACTATCCACCTTGCCGCCCGAATCGGTGGGTATTTGATCGCCTGCCGCTGCTGCTAGGCTTTGCTCTCCCATTTTCGGATCGGATTGAGCTTTCCCGGAGCTTCACCACGGACCCAATCATGAATCCCTTCTCTTCCGGAACACGCCTGAGGTAATAATTCACAAAACCCTCACTCATTTTCATCTTTTCGGATCAGTCTCTGAAATTCAAATTTGGATGAATTGAATTCTATCAAATTTGGTTCATTTTTCATTGCTTTATACATTTACGTAGAAGCGGCAATGAAGCAACTTAGGGGTCGCATTGGGATGCTGGAGTTCGAACTTATTTCAGCTTCCACCTTATCTCATTTTGCAAATTAGTGAATGCTAGCCCTTATTTATCCTAGTTTCAGTCTAGTTCATTTATAGAAAGCATGAAAGAAATGGAAATGAAACATAAGTTTAATGGAACACGGCAGGGCAGCTGAAGTAAACGGGGTATGGGTCCATGATGGTGTAATGTAATGTTGAGGGATTTGATTTACGCTGCATCAAACCGCTCATAAATTTTAGAAACTTGGATTGGCTGTGGTTTATTTACTTTGATTGTGATCAGATATTGAAATCCTGTAGGAGGAATTGTTTTAGTATCTCACAACCTACATGGCTCCCAAATCATAAGATTATTTCTCACTTTTCAGTCTATTTCCCATGATTTTGTTCAAGGCACTTCATATGGTTTGAAAATGATGTACCCAAATAAAAAATGAGTTATCGCATTGTTAGTATATTTTGTTTCGCAGATGATGGTTGACAGACGTAAATTGTAGACTTGATCAGTATGTTATGTAATGAGTGCTTACTGTTTCAATGCAGGGACATGATTCGGGCTATACGTGCTTGCAAAACTGCGGCAGAGGAACGTGCTGTTGTAAGAAAAGAGTGTGCTGCTATTCGTGCTGCCATAAATGAAAATGATCAAGATTACAGGCATCGTAACCTGGCTAAGCTCATGTTCATCCACATGCTGGGTTATCCCACCCATTTTGGTCAAATGGAGTGCCTGAAGTTGATTGCATCTTCTGGTTTTCCTGAGAAGAGAATAGGGTATCTTGGCCTCATGCTGCTTCTTGATGAAAGACAAGAAGTTCTAATGTTGGTCACAAACTCGTTGAAACAGTATCCAATTCTTTGATGATTTTTCATTAGAATAAGCATTGCTCTCTCTCTCTCTCTCTCTCTCTCTTGTGTCCTGACCTGTCTTTAAATAAACAATTGTGTCAAAGATACGGTACTTTCACTTGCAGACATGGTTGTTTACATCTATGTGTCCTTGTAGAAACCTTAACTAATGTACAGAGATCTCAATCACTCAAATCAGTATATTGTGGGACTTGCTCTTTGTGCTTTGGGAAATATTTGTTCAGCAGAAATGGCTCGTGATCTTGCACCCGAAGTGGAAAGATTGCTGCAATTTCGAGATCCAAATATTCGGAAAAAGGTGAGTTTTACTAATATTTTTGTCATGGACCTACGACTCAATATTTTGTTGCTTAAGGAACATCATATATTAATCTCACGAGATTCTGTCAATTTATTGAATTACTATGTGCAAGAACTCTATTATACATTTCCATTGTGGCAGCTCATTCCTTGAATGACACCAAGATCCTTGGCCTTTTATAGTTCGTGTGGCTGATTCACTTGCATATTCTTCTGTTCACATAGCAAACAAAGAATAGCAATGAAATCTGTGCAACCCTTGCATTTCTGGTTGAAGTTACTCTAGGCAGCCTCCTTTCCAGTTGAATGAGAAAACTCTTTTAAGCATCAATGTCCTATAAAATCTTTACACCTACAGTAATAGGATTTCAACTACGTATTTTGTTAATGTGTTATATTAGTTCTTATAGTCTACAGACACTTGAATTATCTGGTCATTGTGTTTCTGCTGCAGACCAACTTTCTGTCTGCAGTGGTCTTCTTTGGAAATTTTTTTATCCTACTTGTTGCACATAAAATTCTATTGTTAGACGGTATACTAAAATAGTTATGTGCAAAATTTTGATTTCTTGTGCAGTAAAAGGTTTTTTCTTAATTAGTCAATTTTAGATTGGTTCTATGTATCATCTTTTTCTTGTGATTTTCTTTTCTTTGTTAAAAAACAAAACAAAATTTAAAGTTTTGCAATATGAGGTTTGGAGTGTGTTGGGGGCGAATTACACTCTGACTTTTCTCCCAAATTGTGTTTGATAATTTGGCGTATATCTTTCATTTGGATACTTAATTTCTCATTGATCAATTTCCTTATTGTAAGTTGATTGCACGCACTGTTGAATGTAGGCAGCGTTGTGCTCTATAAGGATTATAAAGAAAGTCCCTGAGCTGGCGGAAAATTTTATTAATCCTGCTGCTGCCTTACTTAAAGAAAAGCATCATGGTGTTTTAATAACAGGAGTTCAACTTTGTACAGATCTTTGTAAAGTCAGTGAAGATGCCCTTGAATATTTTAGAAAGGTAACTTGACTCTGGCCTATTATATATCTTGTCTATAGTCTGGAAAAGATACAACAATTCTGTTCTTGAAATGGAGTTTTAAGACATTTTTGAAAAAGTTAACTGAAATATTATGCTACCTTTGATTGCAGTTTTATGATGTAACATCCCGTCTTAATTGTTAATGCAGAAGTGCACAGAGGGTTTGGTCAAAACTCTAAAGGATGTAGTAAACAGTCCATATGCCCCCGAGTATGACATTGCTGGGATCACAGATCCTTTCCTTCATATTAGGTTGCTTAAGCTTTTGCGTGAGTTGGGCCAAGGAGATGCAGATGCTAGTGAATGCATGAATGACATACTTGCTCAGGTAAGTTGCTGTAGAGTTTATATCATGCCATCTATGCCATTGACAGCATAATTATTTAATCTTTTGTGATTGCTGCTTTAAAATATTTCAACTTCACCCTCACCAATCACTCATATACTCAAAAGTCACGATTGCTTTCAAAGCACCACTTTCTCAATATGTTTAATATTGCATTCTAGCTGTGAGAACTGTGAAAATACTATCATATACATTTAGTCCATGCTTCTTCAAAATCTTTTTCCATAAAATAAGCTGATGCGACTATGATGTACCATTTTTGTTTTTATTTTTATTTTTAACTATAATTAAATTACTTCTGAGACTATTAACTTCATCACCTTTGTGTGTCGTTTGTGGCAAGTAATGAAAGTGGTGTCACCTATTCCAATGGTTGTGGAGGCAAGTACATCAAAAAGAGATGGGGGAAAAAGTAGATTGTTAATCTTCTAAGTTACCTCTCTTAAGGCCCCTTGTTTCAGATAGTCTAATTGGCTCTGAGTTTAAGATGATGGCTCTTCTTTTACATTGTTAATATTCATTTAAATTTAGTTTTGAAGTACCTTTTGTTGTTTCTATGCACTTTGTATGCGGTTATTTCTGCTTATTATTCTTTAAGCCTGTGGTTCAGGGGGAATTGCTTCATAATTTGAAAAGTTACTTCCTCATTTTTTATCTTCTTCTAAAATTGACTACTATTTCTTTTCCTAGGTGGCAACAAAAACCGAGTCAAACAAAAATGCAGGGAATGCGATTCTGTATGAATGTGTAGAAACCATCATGAGCATTGAAGATAATGGTGGCTTACGTGTGCTTGCCATAAATATTTTGGGAAGATTCTTATCGAATCGTGACAACAACATTAGGTTTGTTTATGATGCTTTAACTTGGGCAAGGCTTTACTGTTTTCTAAGAAGGAAAATTAGGATCATAGTGCTATAAGTTTGATTGGAATACCTCTTTTATATTCTGGGATCAAGTTGAAATGCTTTGCAATTTATGATAATGTCTTTCTTAAGAGGTCATGTTGATGTATCTTATTTTTTTCAACTGGATGCTATGTTTTATGTAAATCTCTCTTTTCTAATAAAGCGCTGCTGTTGACTCAATCAGGTCATAGGGCTTGGCCTTCGTAAAATGCGAGCTAGTATATATGCGTGTGTGTGTGTGTGTGTGAGAGAGAGAGAGAGAGAGAGAGAGAGAGAGGCCTTGAAATGCCCCAACAATGGTAACTGTGTACAAGTTGCCTAAGTGTAAACAGACTACAGGCATGCACCAGTACGCTATCTTTTTTTCATATTGCAGTAAACATAGGAGGATATTTACATGAGTAGTGTGAGTCTAGGTATGCCTCTCATTAGTCTGTGATCGTATCAGTGTTGTATTTTCCAACTTGCTTAGAGACTAATCTCTTGTGCATTGGGATTCTCAACTTGATTTATCCAATTAACCCAAAATCCTTATTGTTGGTGGTGAAAGTAAACCAGTGGCATGCAGCCCAGAAGTCTGTTTCTTTAGGGTTTTTTTATTTATAAAGTTTTAAACTTTAAATATTTGATGAATTGATATTCAAGTTTTGTCATCATTTGGCCTTGTTATGTTCTTACTGAGCTCTTTGCAACTTTTTGTTATTTCATAATAATGTATCAGTTTTTAATTCCTTCCAGATATGTTGCATTAAACATGCTGATGAAGGCAATTACAGTTGATGCTCAAGCGGTGCAGAGGCATCGGGCAACTATCTTGGAATGCGTAAAGGTATATTGTTTGCTCATGTTTAATTTGATTATGAAGAAGAAAAGGCTGCTGTTTTGTTCTTGCTTGTTGAGAATTGAAGATCTCCTTTTCCAATGAACTTTTTCTTTGAAGCCTTATTATTCGACTTTGTGTTATGATTAGTGCAAGAATTGAGTGTACTAGCGTACAACTTGAGAAGCCTGTGACTTGACTTTCTCCTTTCAGGATTCAGATGCTTCAATTCGAAAAAGGGCCCTTGAACTTGTTTATGTTCTTGTGAATGAGGGCAATGTGAAACCTCTGACAAAAGAACTAATTGACTATTTGGAAGTAAGTGACGAAGAATTCAAGGGAGATCTTACTGCAAAAATTTGCTCCATTGTTGCAAAGTAAGTTATGCAGTTCTTGAACTTAGATCGGATTTTTTTTTCTTCAAGGAACTCAGATTGTGTTTTTCTCATATGTTCTATTTAGTAATTGATATGAGTGTTGATGCTGCATGGATAACTTGTCTACCTATGAGAGATTTGCTGTGGACTAAGCTCCTTTAGCTATTTTCATCATAATTATTCCTGTAGTTAAGGGGCCACAGCAATTGGTTCTTCCGAAGATGCCAGTTCTGCACGTGGGGATAGGATCTATAATATGTTTGCTTTACCATTGTAGACTCTTATTTTTTGTTTTCAGTCTTCTTAATGCCATGTCTATTTACTTGTTCTCTGGTATTTGGGACAGGACCTTTATTTTATTTTATTGGCGCAGGGTAGGGTTGTGTTGCTGGTCAATATTGTAGCACTATTTGACAATGAAAATTTTCTAGTTTTGATTATTAATTTGTTTGCCAACTGTTCTTTGATGAACATTCACTCTCTGGTGCTTTAGGTTTTCCCCCGAGAAGATTTGGTACATTGATCAGATGCTCAAGGTTCTCTCTGAGGTATAAATCTAAATGAAGTGTTGTTGGTCTTAATTAAGTTGTATCTCTGCCAACTAGGTCTTGGTCCTTTGGTATTTTTCTTCCCAATGTTGGGAGAATTCCCAAGTTTGAATACCCCCTCCCCCGTGAATAAAAAATAAAGTTGTATCTGTGATGAATTTCAGTCTCACAATATTTTTTTTGGCATGTTATACCTATCTCACTTGGTGAAGTTTCATGTACTCTGTGGATATATCTACTTATATTTCAAAATCCTGGACCTGCCATTTTGTGGCACATTTCAGCTATCTTTCAGCCTAATGAATGGTTCAATTTGTTTCCAAAAAGTACTGATCTTTATGCTGTGCTTAGTAGGCTGGAAATTTTGTAAAAGATGAAGTGTGGCATGCGGTTATCGTTGTGATAAGCAATGCTTCTGATCTTCATGGATATACAGTTAGGGCGTTGTACCGAGCATTACAATTATCAGCTGAGCAGGTGTTTAGTGTTTTCCTGTGATAATTAATTTTCAATTCAAAATCCCTACAATCTTGAGTATCCAAGTTGCATGTGGTTAGTGTTTTAAAAGTATAATTTTTTATCCAGGAAAGTCTCGTTCGGGTAGCAATTTGGTGCATTGGGGAATATGGTGACCTGTTGGTAAACAACGTTGGCATGCTCGATGTAGAGGATCCAATAACAGTGAGTGCACCCTTTACATATTTTCATTCATCCAACCTTTCTGCAGTCATCTTTCCATTTATGAAATTCCTGTGGGCTGTTGTTATTGCTATTGAATATGAAAAACACAAAAATCTGTAGATGCTTGATATATGAGCTTTCTGTGGCTGTCTATCATTTATTTAAAACTATATGTGGTCATCCTTCTGCATTATTATAATGTCTTAAAAATCTGTGCATGTTGCCTAATATTGTAATGAGTTGGGATAGCGGTTCAATTGCTGAGGCTATAACAAAATGAAGACCTTTTTTGCGAAATCATTTCTTATCTTTCTGAGACTAGTACATTAAAATATGTAAGGTAAATAAGCCATCTTCTGATTTGAAGTGACGGCATAAGGAAACACTTTGTATTTAATTAAAGATCTCTCTCTTTTTCGGTTTGTAGCAAAAGTTGGTATTTCAGACTGATTATCCTTTTATGTTTTCTTGGAAAGTTTCCTGATACAATGAGTTTCCTTTAACAGGTAACAGAGTCTGATGCTGTGGATGTTATAGAGATTGCAATTAAGCACCATACGTCGGATCTCACAACCAAAGCAATGGCTATGGTTGCTCTGTTAAAGCTATCTTCACGTTTCCCATCTTGTTCAGAGTACGTTATGTTTTTTACCTGTTCTGTTGTTTATCACATTTTTTTCCAAATGATGCCAACTTTTGTTAAATGCATTAATCTTGCTATCCTCTTATCTATTGTTATGACACTAAGCATGATTATTCTTTGAATGACGTGTAGGAGGATCAAGGATATAGTTGTTCAATACAAAGGAAGCCTTGTTCTTGAATTGCAGCAAAGATCCATTGAAATGAACTCTATTATTGCGAAGCATCAGAACATTAGGTATGTGGGTTTGAGAAGTTAAAATTAATTTTGTAAGGAGTGGCCCCTGTTCTATTCATTCTTCCTTTTCTCCCCTCGCACCAAGAAGATTTTCATATATTTGAAAACTGATAGATGAATTTGTGCAGATCTACACTGGTTGAAAGGATGCCAGTTTTGGATGAGGCAACTTTCATTGGAAAGAGGGCTGGTTCTATACAAGCTACTGTTTCTCCTTCTTCTGGTGCTTCAATCAATCTACCGAATGGAGTTGCCAAACCTACTGCAGCTCCTCTTGTGGATTTACTTGATCTAGGGTCAGATGATGTGCCAGCACCTAGCTCCTCCGGTGGTGATTTGCTTCATGATCTTCTTGGTGTTGATTTGTCAACGGCTTCTACACAATCGGGTTAGTTTTGGGAAATGTTATGCCATATATTACTTCTAGCGAAAAATGTGAATGGACCGGAATTACTTAATTAAACCACTATCCTGATTCATCTTAATTTATAGTGGAGCATCTTATTTTATGTTTGGCGAAATGCTAGTGATATGCAGAATATATAGAGGGTCGGCTACCAATTAATTTGGTGTCGGAGTATATGTAAACCCATTTACACCTACAGTTTTGTTGTCATGGGCGGTCAGGTGTTCCCAACTATGTCTAATTTGATTATGACGATGTCCATAACTAGATATTTTTCTCCTTTTTTCTTTTTGGGAATTTAGTGCATTGAAATGATAAGGCTTGATTCTGTAAGAGAAAATTCTGTGGAATGAACTTATAAGCGGTAATGCCCTGGCAACCCATAGTTGAATTTCTTAGTTCTGTATTACAACTGTTTCTTGGTGTGGTGACATCAGGATATTTTTATGTAGATATGAATTGTTTTGGCGTTCCTTATTAGATAAACCTATAGACGAAAAAAGAGAAGAAAGTATTTGCATTATTTCTATTGTATCAACCGACATTTAATGTTTGTGATATTCCCTTAGGTGTAAATCATGCTCCAAAAAATGGCACCGATGTTCTACTGGATCTCTTGTCTATTGGTTCACCTACCCAAAGCAGCCAATCTGTCTCTGATATGTTATCCTCCAGTCAAGATAACAAAACACCTGTTTCACCATTAGAGGGATTATCATCCCCATCTTCGAATTCCATACAACCCACTTCTTCTGCAGGAGCTGCTCCAGCAATTGATTTGTTGGACGGCTTTTCCTCCAACCCACCAAAACAGGGTAAAATACTAGCAACCCTGAGAGTTTTGTTTAGCAGATATGATTAGGTTAATTTTCTGATAGCCTTTTTTTCTAGAAACAGAAAACAATGGCACAGCTTATCCATCTGTAGTGGCATTTGAGAGCAGCAACTTGAAGATGGTGTTCAACTTCTCAAAGCTGCCTGGAAATCCGCAAACGACAGTGATCGAGGCTACATTCACTAATTTGTCAATGAATATCTATTCAGATTTTATTTTTCAGGCAGCTGTTCCAAAGGTAATTTTGGTTACTTAAATCCCCATTTTGCTCATAAAATATTGGTGACCATTAAAGTTTGCCAGTTTTTCAGTTGAAATCTTAGATGTTTTCATGCTCTAAGTTTATTTGTTCTTAACTTAAACTTTGCGGTTCTTATTTTTCTCTGTGCTTCCAATTTACAGTTTCTTCAACTGCACTTAGATCCAGCTAGCGGCAATACTCTGCCTGCAAGTGGTAATGGGTCCATCACACAAACATTGAGAGTTACCAACAGCCAACATGGAAAGGTATCTGAAATCTCTATATATGTGTCGTCCTTTAGTTTCTGAACTTGATTGCTGCCTGGCATGAGAATGCAATTCGAATTACCTAAACTCTTTTTAATCATTATGGCCTTTTGAGAGTTACCAACTGCCAGCTAAATCTTTTCTGGTTTAGTTATGGCCTTAAAGACCTTATTCTAATGAGCACTTAGGTTGAAGACTTGCATCTCAACTGTCTAAAACATATATACTGTTAATACGCACAAAGGGAAATGGTTGAGATGCAAGTTAGCAAGTTAAATCCTCTGCTCAGCAGCTCAGTTCCCATTGGATTGCCTCCGTATATTAATGACACATATATATTCAAGGTTTTTAATTGTTTATTTATGTCTGAATATCCTTTTATATTCTTGTAAACCTTAACACGACAAAAATTCAGCCCAATGATACGGGGTTGGGAACACAGATCCTTTTAAGTGGTCAGAGAGCTGATGGTTTATTTATTTTAGCCAAACCATATCTTTTGCGTTGTCCTTTTCTTTTCCCCTTAATTATTTGGTGGATGTAGTGGATAGTTACAAACTTCACATCTTTTCAGAAATCTCTTGTCATGCGTATAAGAATAGCTTACAAGATGAACAACAAAGATGTCTTGGAGGAAGGACAAATCAGCAATTTTCCTCGTGGTTTATGAGGCTGAGTAGTTTTCATAGATGGTAAAAATGGTGATGCACAAGTATACGTTTTCCTTCTCGCTGTCCACGACGTCAGTGGAGTCTTTTCCTTAGAAAATTGCTCAATTTGGGGTGGCATGTCCTGTGGCAATTGGGACTGATTTTGTTTGAAGTATGTGGTTTATCCAATGGCTTGATACCTCCCCTGTCCCACATTTTTCTTCCCCTTGTACCTGGTTTATGTACATTATTAAAGTTCTTCATGTACGAAATTGTGGGAATTAAATTTTGCTTATGATGCACAAGAGGAGGGAGCTAGTTGCATGTTGAGATCTTGAGGTCATAGTTTGCTTTTTAGTTTGGATTTGCTCGCTAGCCTTATTGTTTGAGATCATAGTTGTTGTTGGGAATCAAATTGAATTGCAAATCAGTTATATATTCGATTTAATGTAACAATTTTCACCAATGTCATTATTGAAGGCTAATTTTGTTTGTTTACATTTCCATGGTACTCCATCTGTTAATTTAATCTCACCTTCCTTCCCTATTCTGTTTTTTCCTTTAATTATAAAAAATAAAAACATGCAACCAGTTGTCCAGTTGCTTAGTTGTTGGCGAAGAAAATTTGCAATTTTTTTAAGTTGAGTTAATCCTATATTCTATATGTAATGTGAAAGTACATTTCTGATTTTACTTTGATTGTCGTTATGTATTTTTCATCTGTATATTCCACCCTTTTAAATATTTTGATTCCCATCGTGCTTCTGGGTAACTTTCTTCGACTTATGACACAACAAAAGAAAAAAAGGAAAAAGGAAGGGATTATTGATTGATCACCCTTCATTGTTGAATCTGACCTTCATCGAAATAATAGCTTACTGGGTCAATGATATTTGGTAAGGAGTTGACACGATTCATGCTAGATTTTTATATTTGATTATTTTTATGTACACCCAACACATGCAAACGCAACGCAAACGGCCTTGGATTCTCCCCAAATGGCCATAAATATCAAACACCAGTTGTCTACAAAAGACGGTATTATCTGTTAATGTGTTTGACTTTGGGTGAGCCTAAAGCTTTGTATCTTGTGGAGTTGGTATTATTGTGATCATAAGCTCCACCGACTACCAATGCATCACTGGATTTCTTTTTCACCTTCTTTCGTGGCGTTTTGCGCAGACCAAGTCTTCTTCAGATGATGAGTGATTTTATTTCTAGTTTGCAACATCAGAAAGTATGCAAATGATGATGTGGCCTACACTACAAAATAATCATCCGTAACCTCACCTTCACATCCTTGTGGTCCCTCTCACACAATCAAGTGCTCTAATATCGCGCATTCGATTATATTTAATTACAACCCCCGCACCCCTCTCTCTCTCTCTCTCTCTCTCTCTCTCTCTCTCTCTCTTAACCCTAAACCCAACTCATCTGATTCCTAGGTACGTCTCCAAATGATAATGTATTTCCCATAAAAAAAAAAACAAGTAAATTGTTAAATCAAGCGCTCTAATATCGCGCACTCTATTATATTTAAATACACCCCCCGCGCCCCTCTCTCTCTCTCTCTCTCTCTCTCTCTCTCTCTCTCTCTTAACCCTAAACCCAACTCATCTGATTCCTAGGTACGTCTCCAAATGATAATGTATTTCCCATAAAAAAAAAAACAAGTAAATTGTTAAATGGTACAACACTTCCCTAGAATAGTATAATCTTCCCAGGATAACAATCAAAACTCTGGTATCGAAGAGATGCTATTAAGGATAGTTCTCCGTATGTATGTGAGTAACTTTCAACCATTGATATAGTGTGAAATTATACCGTTACATTTCTCATATAATTCCATGGACTAGCACACTTCTCTATTATGAATTTATGTGCCCACAATCCACTTGCTTTTTGTCAACGTTTCAATTGTAGCACGCACCTCATCGCAATCACAAGAGTCCCTCAAAACCCTTTTCACGATCCCACCACAAATTGTCCATCCCAAAAAGGGGATTCCAAGCCGGATCAAAAGAAGAGAAGGGAAGGGAATTTTAACAAAAAGCAAAATTCTAGAGACACCAAAGCAGCCAAAAAGCAGCATTTTGATATGACTCTCCTGTATTTCCTACAAACAACAATGCATGTAAAGAAGTTGAGGTTTTCTTTTTCTCTTTATGTATGTGAAGTGAAGGCATCACATGGTTTGATGGGATCCCATGTTTGTTTCAACTGCATTGGAAAGTGGGGGAGATTACCAGTTCATTTATCAACCTAACATGTGTACTCTAGAGGCAGCGCATCTAATCTTTAGAACCATGGGAAATGCTGAACAGAAGCATTGTCACTCCAGGCACAAGGCTAAAGTAAAAGCATTTGTAAAAGTTGCATGGAATTTTATTTATTTATTTTTCTGAAAAGATAAAGTGCATTGCCGCTTGAGATAAAAGTTTCGTAGAACAGGAGCTGCACGGCAGTAAAGAAAATAAAAGTCCAGAAGAAAGCAAAAGCCAAAAATTCTTTTCTTGCTTTGAAAAAATTAAATAGATTCATTGATATATTGCAGAAAGTACATAGCACAGTGAATAACTTCATGTAACCTCAGATCTATCACTCCATGGCAAACCCACAGTAACAGAGGAAGCGCCCATATGGGTTTCTGAAGAATTTGGAAATTTACCCTTCTTAGGCCATAGCCAAATTTTGGAAACAGAAAAGCTTTCACCTTTACTTCCACTGTTAATTTTTTTCCCCTCTGCATCACCATCACAGTGGGAATTCCCATTTTGTCCAGCTCTCCCTTTCACAAGCCTCACACTATCACCACTTCCAGCAGCAGCAGCTGCTCTTTTGGGCCTCAAAGCCACTTGCAACTCTAAATCAGCAACCACATATTGGTATGATCCCATTGAGTAACATCTCCTTGCATCCAAACTACTACTGCTAGTCTCTCCCTCTGCTCTCTCCACTGCTGCTCCTCCACCTCCACCTCCACCTCCATCTCCCTCATCATTTGTGCTTCTGAATTTACCAAGTCTCACAGAAAATACCTTTTTCTCACCACCATTTTCATTATCTGCAGACTTTTGGCCAGTAAGAACACTTCCTTCATTGCCCAAAGAACCATCTTCTTCCCTTAGATCATCAAAATCAAAGACTGGGTTTTCAATGGCAATCCCTGGCGTGTACAGGGTCCCTCTACAAAGCGGGCAAGTTGAATTAGACAGTAACCATGTGTCAATGCAATCAATGTGAAAAGCATGACTACACATGGGGAGCAATCTCAACTGGTCCTTTTCAGAAAACTCACACAGACAAACTGG